AGAGAGAGAGAGAGAGAGAGAGAGAGAGAGAGAGAGATCCAAGTCCGAATACATCCGCATACATACATCCACGTCGAAAAGGGCAAGTATCCTAAACATCTTAGGTCGAACGTAATATTGAGGAAAAATATATATATACATAAAAGAAAATCAGGTGGTCGTAGTGCCTACGAAGACTAATACTAGTTCCATTTGAAACTAAAAACAAACGAGTCAATTGTGCGATTTCAATCAACAAAGAAAAGAATAACATTATAATCATATCGTTGGTTTCTCCCTGTCCATTGCCCCCCTCCCGCCTCACCGATCATTTCACACTCCCCTCGTATTGACCACGTCATTTCCACTCTCACCCCCATAATCAAAATCATCGGTTAAGGTCTCAAGATTGCGAGGATGGAAGATTCCCTCCACATCCCCTCCCTTCCCACCATCCGCAGCGGCCCCTCCCTGTGGTGTCAGCGGTGATTGTGCATCACCTTTGCCTGTGCATAACTCCGGTTGCAACTGACTATCCGACACGCTCAGGCCAACACCTGACTCTGACTGCATTTCGGACGTGCCTTCTAATGCGGCGCATGTCAGTAATAAACTCTCGTACGTGGCACCTGCATCTGATGACAATGCGTTTGACACATCCATGCGTTTGGACGGTTCTGTCGTGGCGACGGAGATTTACGGCATAGACGTCATGTGAACCTCTTGAGTTTTCACCACAGTAGTCCCGTCATCCTCCCTCTGCCCTGCCTGCGTGGGTACGGGGGGCGATGCCGACAAAGGCACGACATGAGAGTTGCTCTCCTCTATGGTTCCGACAGTTTGATTGACCTTCCAGTCGATTGACCCACATGAGGGACTCGTTCGCAGGGCGTAAAATTTTCAACTGTATTCCAACTGCTGATTGTCTCGCAATACAGAAAACAATTCTTTGGCCTTGTCTTTGACAGCGCCCTCGCTCTGCCCCGGATTCTCCTTTTGCACGCGGTACATAATCGCGAGTTCCGTCGTTTTTAGCCAAGTGTCCTTTGACATCCGGCGAAACGTCTGCCATCCGCGTGTGTATTTGACCGCCATCTTCCACTCCCCATCTTGGATGCAAGGATAAAAAATGCCCTCATGCCACACGATGTCATGGCCCCACTGTCCTCACCAGTGCGGACGTGTTTGCCCCCCAAGAAATAAATTGTGGTCGGATCAGCACAATAGCCGGGAAGAATTGGATCGCCTGGTGCGAGCTTCGACGCCTCGCCTGGCATATCAATGTCATCGTCATCATTGGGACCACATATTCCCATGTTTGGCAAACCGGTGCCCTCCATGGGGGCCACCATTGAGCCAACACTGTGGGCGGCCACCGGTACGGGTCTTTCATACGAGCGAACGGTCCCTTTATCGTGTGACCGCACCATGCCACCGCCCAGACCTTCACCACCCTTGTTTTCGCCCGATTCGAGGTCGGACTCCGAAGAGTCTTCCTCGCTGTCGATGGGGTTAAAGTCGTCACCCGATTTCGCGAGGTTAGCGTAGTCCTTGGACGTCAGCTGGTCTTTATGAAGATCGAACTTCAGGATCTCGCATCGAGCAACAAAAGTCTCAAAGGCGCTAGTAAGAGCACCGTGATAATGTTTCAGGGTCTTTGTCACTTTTGCTTTCCTGTAGATGTAATTCCCGTCAAGCCGTCCTTGTGGCGCATCGCGGAACAGGTATTCCCACACCTTTAGTCTCTTGCATCCCAATTTGTGGAACATGTCCCTGTTGCTACGATGTTTGCAACGTGGCTTCTTGACATGACAGGCGAATCTCTCATCCTTCACAAGTATATCGACGAACTTTGTCAGATATGCAATGTCCTTGGCCGACTCGTCGCAGGCAATGACATTATTACCTGCCAGTAATAACTCCCACACAAGACTTGCGTGCGTTCTACCCAACAAAAGCACAGCTTCCGCCTCTCCGACAAATGACCCGCACAACGAACGCAATTTTTCAGGCTCTCGCTCCCAGATGGAATACACCGCACTATCATCGCCCTCTATCCCACCGTGTTTTCCTTGACACTTCCCGAACTTCTTCTCCACAACGTGCACGGTTGTGAGGTCGTTGTGGAGTCGGGGTTTGACAGTTACTTTTTTTAGATCCCCTTCCTCGGCGTGCAGGACAATGACCATCGTATCTCGACTCGTCGTAGCCATATTGCCGTATCGTGTCATGTCGTTCGGCGGCCTGTCCACCCGTTTCTAGGTCCCGGGGATGACTTCGACATCCTCCCAGCGGAACAAGTGACGCAAAACATCGCTTTGCACCTTCTGCGGCGCAAAGAAGAAAAGGACCCAATTCTGGCCACAACACTTGGTCATCAGTGTGTGCAAGGCATCAAATTCGTGAGAGGTCCACGCCGTGCTGAAGTTCGAGGATGGGATATCCACGATGGCGGCCCTACATGTCATTTTTTGCGCTGTAGCGACGATGTCGCCTGGCGCTGCCAACACTTCCTTCGATGCCATGCACACAGGTAGCAACGTCGTTTGTTTGCCAAGCTTGTCCCACACAATATGACGCGCGCTGGAGGCGATCCGTTTCACCTCGGCGCGAAGCAAATCGAGCTTATCGATTGCAGTGTATATGAAGACCTTAAGGTGAAACGGAACCTCCTTATACATTGCCGCCGTAGGCCCCAAGCCCGCACCTTGCCTTGCCTCCTCCACTCCTCCAAGTTGTTGAGGGACCATCTTCACCTTATTGACATGTAACTTGTCCCGTTCCTTCTCCCATTCAGCAACGCACAAACCGTTTGGCCCATACCTGTCTTCAAGGTCCTTGTACGACATGAAAAACACGTCATTCCATTCGTCGTCCGCCCTTCCCTCCGCGCGGAACAGAACATAATTGAACATACGCACCATGTACTGCTCCTTTCGCATGATGTCGAGGAGACACTCTGTGTTCACTCTTGGAGGCAAGACCTTGACATTCGTTGCGACCACCTTCCCCTTCATGAGCAGGAGCAATGCAACTTCCCTCTCACGACACGTCAAATCCCCAAAATTTTTGAAGTAGGAAGGACAAAGATCCTTCCACGACACGGTGGAGTCTTTGGGACCATCTGTTGCATATATGCAATGGTACAATGTTCTTTTCCCTTGGTCTGGTGGGTATACGGGCCTGGTAGGCGGCCTTCCATCCTCCCGGGCATGTCAAGCGGGATTTTGCCATCGCCAACTGGCAGCTTTCCTTCGTTGAACATCTCGAAGAACCTCTCGACCAGCGGCCACACTGCGACACTGGATGTGGTGAGGTTCATGTAGCCCCGGAGTTTATTACTCCAATCCTTACTGTATTAATTCTCGAGAGCTTGCTTTACAAACGCCTTGTCGCATGCCTTCCCCATGCAGACCCTCAAGAAGTTTTGCCATGTCTTCTGATGTGCAACGGCCACCTCATCCTTCTCACTGACCTTGGCTTTGGGGGCCTCGATTCTATTGTTGTCTATCCACCATTGCCTGATGTCATGGACAACGTCCTCGAATGACAACATCATGGAGCGATTTTTGCGTTTGTTGTCGAAGCAGGAGATATTGAAATACCCTCGTGTTTGATCATCTCCGAAATAGACGACCCTCACCTTAGAGTACGCGTTGAGGCCATAAACTTTAACTGTCGGGGAGTCCTTTCTGACCAATCTCTTCATGGCCTCAACGGTATGCTGACCACAGACAGCGTACCTGTCGAACTCTGCCGGGTCCCTTTCCAAGAATTCGGTCGGCGTGATCCGTCTTCCCTGGCTGCCGACAATGTCATTGCGGTCAACTGGCGCAAGCACGAGCTCGGGCCTATCCCACGCCCCCGGGTCCGTGCTGATGGAACTTTCGATGACATTCTCGATGCCTCGCACAATGTTTTCAAACAACGAGCGGTGGTTGAAAAGAATCATTCCGCGGGGAATGCGTTTGATTCTCATGACGTCCACGCGAAGAGCATAGACGTCTTGCGTAGCAAAGCCTTGGTCGTCGTACTCGAGGAAGAAATAACGCGTAGTGTCGATGGGCACGACGCGTTGAACCGGCTCATCAGCATCTTTGGGCATGCGAGGATCCACTCCCTCGCCCTCATCCCCCGAGTCCTGCAACTCTTGTGGTCTCACCCTCTGGGAGCCTTTCCGCGCCCCGCCACGGCCACCGCCCCCACAGCCACTGCCTTGACCCCCAGATCGCCCCCCTTGGCTGTTTTTCCGAGGAGGCCGCGCCTCTTGGGACGCTGTCAAAGCTTCACGAGCCTCATTAACAGCGTCAGTCCTGGCTTGCCTCTTGTGAGTAGAAGCAGACGGAGAAGTCTCCCTTATCCTTTTTTTCGCCTTTGGTCCTTGCATTGCATGTGAGTCGTGCCCACCCTTACTCCTGCTTTGCGATAGCGAAATCCCACGGGACGTCGAGGGCTGACCACGTGCGGCTCCCACAGCGCCGGCGGGGGAGATGTCATGACCATGCATTGGCGTGTCGGCGTCCGCGTCAGCAAGCGCGCCCCGGTCCTGCATGTTGTCATCCCCAACTTCTACATCTGCTTCATTACCGCCGTCGTCATGCGGGCCGGCACTTCCTCCTTCCTCGTCCTCGTCGTTGTCCTCGTCCAGGGCAACTGCACTGCCCCGGGAATTTTCACGGCCAACATTACGCTGGTGCAGAAGCCTATCATCAAACTCCATTGCCTCGCTTGAACCTTGAGCCAAATCACGACCTCCCCTCACGAAGGGCGAGGGAAGATTCGCGCCCGACGGCCACTCGACAACTGCTTTGTCTTCCTTGTCGTCGCGGACGGCGTTTGTCGCCTGCTCTTGGAACCCGCCTCGAAGGGCAAAAAAACACAGTCCGCTTGCTGGTCTGGCGGCAGCTTCGAGAAGTCTTCCCTGTACCGCTTAACCACACCTGGCAGCAGGTCCATTGGACTGTTGAATTGGACCAAAGGTTTGCTCATCC